TTGAAGGGTTGATTACAGGAAAATGGCGTTTTCTTTTAACAGCTCCTGAGATCACGTGAAGGAGAGATCTGCTCTCCGTTGGATCCCCCTCTCCAGGAGGGGACATCCTGATCCGTACCTAGCAAGATGGGAGGAATCACCTTCCAGAGGCTTCACAATCTTGAGTACAGCCCAGCTGCCTCGATCAAGTTTTTTTTTTCTCCTTTTAAAACTTTTATTTTGTCCAAAGGGGAAGATTTAACTGCAGAAGGAAGCGTAATTAAAAAAAAGAAGAAGAAGCAAGCAAGCCATTTGGGTCACTGCAGAGGCCCAAACCATTAAAAAAAAAGTGTTAATAAAAAAAATAGGGAATAAATTTTCTGAAGAGAATAGAGCGGGCGCTTGGGGGGGAAACTGAGAAAATGGCTAGTTTGCACCAAAATAGACATTTTTGTCTGCCACTACTTTGTAAAACTTTTCATCGAAAATGAACATTACTTTCACGGTCTCGTCGCTATTCTCTGAGAACTTTGGCTCAAAAGATCCAGAGGTTTTCTGCAAGCCCAAAATAAAGTCTACGGATTTGGCACCGTGCACGGAAGGAGAACAGAATCCAGCTGTGCTATCTTCCTAGCTGAGTTCACGGCTTGGGCCTTGGTGCCATTCCGATGTTTCACCGGATCTTGGTTCTTTGATCCCAGTTGGATGGGCGAGTGCTGAACATCCCAAAAGCGGAAGGAAGGCAGCCAGCGAGAAACTTAGAGACATCGAAGCTCTGGTTGGTTGCCATCCCTCTCTGCTCAAGTTAGACATAATTATAAAACAAAACCCAATAAGCAGAACCCGACAGATACTATAAGCAATGAAACAATGATTTAAACCCCCCCTCCCTCCAAAATTCACAACATACACCAGCCTGCTGGGTTGATCAACAACAACAAAATCAATATATTTCAAAATCAAAAGGGGAGGAGAAAGAAGGTTAACCGTGGTGTAAGAAGGTCAAATGAAAACCATTTTCCAAATGGCATCTCTAGGTTAATTGTGCCAGATAGTGCTGGGCTGGCTGTGACCACCGTCTTAAAAACAGCAGAATTTGCCCACCAGGGAAAAATAATAACAAGATCTACCGCTTCACCCATTCGTGGTGGGACAGGCCACTGGAGACCAACAGGGGTATCTCAAGAAGCTTCGGCTTCTTCCAATTCACCAGGTCCTTCTTAGCAAACACGCACCTGAATCGTGGTGGCCCTGTTAGAAGAGCTCTGGAGGACCTCTTCTGTCATGGTGGTGAAAGGATTTCACAAGGCCACCGACTTCCAGATGGAGTTTTCCAGATCTATCCTGGAGATTCTAGACCTTCCCCAAGTTTCCCCTTTTCCTGAAGATCAGGATCGGTCTGGGACAATCAGGGAGAGTTTGAGGAACTCTGATCTGCTCAACATGGTGGCCTTGAGCTGGGTTGGAGTCTTCAACTCATACAACCCTTGGCTAGCTCAGCTGAGATAGGAAAGGAACGTTCTGGTCAGTGGTTGGGTGGAGAACCCAACGTTTGGCAGATCCTCGCCCAGTGACTACCTTGCTACCACTCAAAGGACCATAGGCCTGCCCTGTGAGGTCCATGTGCCCCTCTCCCCAATTCCTGATCCTGTTCTGAATTCCATTTGCACACTCTTGTTTTAGAGCAGTTAGTAGTCTAAAGGGCATGTGGGGAAGATGATGCCCCCAAGCCATTACTAAACCAAGTGAAATGTGTGTGTGTGTGTGTGTGTGCACACTCAATTGATGCCTACACCAAGGCCAAGCTACTTTCTTGAAATGGGAAAAACCTGAGTCTTTCCCCCACCTCCAAAAGCAACAAGTGAAGGGTGGGGGACACCCAATGTGTAGGATGAAACTGCACAGGAACAAAGCTCTGGGTCTTCTAGATGTAGCTTGGGGAAGACCAACGTTAAGAATGCAACATGGGGAAAACCAGTTCACAGCTTCACCACTTCTGTACCGGGCCCTGAAACTCGCTCATTTCCTACACAAATCTCAACATTTGGGTGGAGAGGGCCATAAAGCATCAATCCGATGGAAAGACAAATCCAGGAATCTCCCCCCACGCTTTCTGAATGTGGTAGAACCCAGTTGAGGACATCCAGTTGAGCGGTGAGTTCTGATGATGCTATCCTCCTCATTTCATTGCTTATGGAGTTTGGACTCCACACGCTCTATGAGAAAGCAAGAAAGCAAGTGACTGTGGAGAACATTTTGGTCTCTTGTGATGGAACCTTCTCCACCATGCTTGGACAGGAGGAAACCTTCTCAAGGCTCAATGGCTCTGTTTCAAATCAAATCCCAACCGAGGAGCATCCTAACCCAACGTGTTTTGCATCGAGAAGGCAATGATGTTGGGACCAATACGGAATATTTTTCTACTGTACCACCAAGCAAAAACAGAAACCCAACAGGCTTGGGACTCTCCTCACCCCTCACTTGGCTGCAGTGACTGTGTGTTACCCAAAAGAACTTTTTTTTTAAAAAAATGAAAAAGTCAACAGCGGTTCCCACTGAGGAAAACCGAAGCTTTTTCCTGGACCCATCTGAGGTTCTTCAAGCGTCGCCTTGCATGGTAGCTGGCCAAGATCATCCCCCTTCCTTGTCCTGCAGGAGAAGGAGGATCTCAAACTAGAACCCGAACTGCACTCAGAATCTTCAAAGCTTCCCATGGCTCATGGATGCTTGAAAGAGGGTTTCCGAGGCCCAAAACACACAAGCGGTTTCCTATGAAAGACAAAGTTTACGGAGGACCTCCGGATCAGAGCGGTGACATAGCTGGGCCTTCATTCCTTGGGTATCAGCCCTTGGAGGGATAAATGCGAGAAAGCAGATGTGGATGAACCAACGGTTGAATCTTCGCGACGGTCATGACTACCAACCTGTCCAATCTGAGCTTCTCTTGGGACAGGAGAGCGAGAGGGAAGTGTTCACAGTGGTGTAACTTGGTGGTGGGGACAGGGATGACCAAAGCCATCAAACCAAGCCGTGGTGCTCGGCACAAGAGTTGTTGTCCTGAGTTGCTGTCCCTCTAAGGGAGCCGTTGCAAGGGGCAGGACGGTTGATCCCGCCCTTCCGCATATGGTCGACGGTTATCTTTCCAGACCCAACGTAAAGTGCCTGTTTGTGGAGTACCTCTGGGCAGGTAAGGAGTGCTTGGATTCCAAAAAAAAAAAATTTGAGAAGTCCTGCCCAGAATGTTATGTGCAGAGAAGATTAAGAAGAAATAAAGAGAGGAAAAAACGATGGGGTGGGGAGGAAAGGACAACCTGCCGGGACAGGTTCCCGTCTGGGGTACCCATCTAGTTCACATTTAATGGGTTTCAATGACCACGGGCTCGTAGACTCCGGACGAGACTCTGCGGGAGAAAAAGGGAGGAGAGAAACACTGTGACAGAAGTATTTGGTTGAAAGAGAGATTTCAACTTAAACTAAGAAATCGGGACTCTAAATATTACCAAGTTATGCTTTGAAAGGCCTGCATTCCTCCTAGAAATGAGGCTTAAACTCAAACAAGTATTGAAAAAACATCTGTTCCAGGACCCTACCTGTTTGCTAGCTGAATCCCACTTAGCGTAGTTGTGCCATCTCGGCTCACAAACAGCCTCAGGTTACTATCTGGAAGAGAAAAAACGATATCCAGGAGGTCAATGTTTTAGTCTTTTATGAAAAAGATGTCGGGGAAAATGCCAGCGAGGCTGGAAGGAGGGGTCAAGCAGGTGCCTAGCTTGGAATCCTTGCGCACTCGCAAGAGGCATAAGCTTGACCTCGTCCAAGATCCACGAAGCCTTATCTGGTCATATTCAAGGGAAGGCAAGCACTCTTGGGAAAATTCACGTGCAGTGTTAGTACCGCTTTGTAAAGCCTTAGTAAAGCCACACCTGGAATGCTGCATCCAGTTTTGGTTACCACGTTACAAAAAAAGATGTGGAGACTTGGGGAAAAAGTGCAGAGAAGAGCAACTAAGATGATCAAAGACCTGGAGACTAAAACATATGAAGAACGGTTGCAGGATTTGGGGATGGCCAGTCTACAGAAAAGGAGGACTAGGGGGGACATGATAGCAGTCTTCTAGTATTTGAGGGGCTGCCACAAAGAAGAGGGGGGGTCAACTTATTTTCCAAAGCGCCAGAAGGCAAGACAAGAAACAATGGATGGAAACTCATCAAGGAGAGAAGCAACCTGGAATTAAGGAGAAACTTCCTAACAGTGAGAACAATTAACCAGTGGAACAGCTTGCCACCAGAAGTTGTGGGTGCTTCATCACTCAAGGATTTTAAGAAGAGATTGGACAATCATTTGTCTGAAATGGTATAGGGTCTCCTGCTTGAGCAGGGGGTTGGACTAGAAGACCTCCAATAAAGCAATAAAGTTGCTTTCTTCAGCTACTTACGAGTGGCTTGGGTTGCTTGTGCCTGACACATGAGCAGGGGTTTGGACTCTGCATCCCAGAATCCCCCAACCAAGGCTTAGGAATTCTGGGAGATGAAGTTCAAGGCAGGCTTCCAGGTGGTAAAGTTGGAAGGCTGCACAAGGAGTGAAGGAAAAGGGGGCAAAAGTTTCCTTAGGAGGCGAGACGTTCTCACCTTCAGTGTTGCTGACGTTGGTGAAATCCTGACTTTGCATGATCTTCTCCACGATGTCACCTGCGTCGATCCGAGTGTCGTCCACCCAGGTGGGATGGCTTTCTACAGAATCCTTTTTCCTCCTGCAGGGAAAGAAGTGAACAAAGGAAGGATTAAAAACAAGCAAACAAACGGGGGGGAAATAGGCGACGAATCCCCAACGAAAGGATGGAAGAGATGTTCCAGCTTCTCTTAAGGGTACCTACCGAGAAGATCTGTCCGACAAAAGGTTGGGTCTGGGGGGTCTCGGGGGCTTCTCCAACCTGTGTTCCCGTTCGCCCTCCGGGCATTCGACCGTCATGCTGAGACCTCCCGAGGCGCTGCTGCTGGTGGACGTGTTCCGGCGGTGGGTCAGGTCCGACAGGCTGGACGATCTGGAGTGCTCGGTGCTGTATCCTACAAATGAGAATATCAGGACAATCTTGATGGTCAAGCCAGGAACCATCCGAATCCAGCATTTTGTTCCCCACCAGAAGAACATCTGAAGCACCTTACCAGGAGATGGGAGACATACCTCTTCTACCTCTTCTGATATCCCAAAGGTGCTTTTTCAAGAGGCCACTGGACTTTCTTGTTTCTCTTTGAAGATGTTTCTCTTCTCGTCCAAGAAGCTTCTTCAGCTCTGACTGGATGGTGGGGAATGGAAGGATTTATACTCCTTGCAGACAGCTGGTCATTTACCTTCTTTTAGAGAGTCGTTGAGGCCACTTGGAGGTTTGTGTCCTATTGTGTCACAGAAAACATCCTGCAGCCAAGAAGGCTCCACACCCATTTGCACCACTCAGGTGACCTTGAGGACACAGGTAAACCTCCAAGTGGCCTTAAAGACTCTCAAAAAGAATGCAAATGACCAACTTCTAAAAAGAGTATAAATCCTTCCCTTCCCCACCATCCAGTCAGAGCTGAAGAAGCTTCTTGGATGAGAAGTGAAATGTCTTCGTAGAAAAACAAGAATGTCCAGTTGCCTTTTGAAAAAGCATCTTTGGGACAACCATGGCCTGGATGACTGAGAATCTCCATATACACCTTCTGACGTTACCTGAGATTTGAAAACAAACTACCTTCCCTGCAGAGGTGATCTTTAGTCTTCACGATTAACAAGATAAACCGATTATCATGTAGAATAAATGAATCCTACCTGCATTTAGCCACCTCCCTCCCCATTTAACAGCAACTCCATCACAATGCCTTGAAGGGCTGTGAGTATCCCAAATTTGCAGCAATAGTAGGTATTTATCTATTAAACACCCAATTTTTAAAAACAAACTGACATTTCTTCCTGGCTTCGCTAGATGAAAGAAATATTGTTTTTTAAAAAAATATTTAATTTGTATGCCAAACCCGATTCTCAACGACCCCCAAGTAAAAACTAAAAAAAAATATACAATCCAAAACAAAACTAGGAATAAAAATTAGTTTTTCAAATATGCATGATAGAAAGATACACACACACACACAAAATTTGGAAGGATTCATTATCCTATATGGATGCCATAAATGAATGCTCTTAAGTCAAGGACTTACCTGTATTTATTAAACATTGCCACCCCAATAAAAAGAATATAAAAACCCTCTTGCTGGTTTAGGTGGGTTTAAAAAAAAATAACTTTTTTTTAAAAAATGGCTATTACGTTGGTCTCGTTTTATTGCTTTGTTTTAAGTTTGGTTCTGCCTGGAAAAAAAGGCCACAAGACCCTTAGAAATGGGAGCATCGCTTAGATTGGCTCATGAAAACCCAGGTCTTGGCGGAATGGACACTGACCGGAGATTTTGGATTGCTGGCTGGCATAGCTTGAATTTCGCGAGTGTCCAGAATGGAACACTTCTTCTGGACTTGATAAGTTCTGGTCCGGTTCTTCCAAAACCCCTGGAAAGGGGAAAAAAAATCAGAAAGATGAACTGCCGAGCTGTCCATCTTTCCCCATCAAGTGAAATAAGGTAACTGAATGCTTTAAACCAGTGTTATTAGTCAGGGTGGCGCAGTGGTTAGAATGCAGTATTGCAGGCGAATTCTGCTGACTGCCGACTGCCAGCAGTTCAATCCTGACCGGCTCATGATTGACTCAGCCTTCTATCTTTCCGAGGTCGGTAAAGTGAGGACCCAGATTGTTGCGGGCAAATAGGCTGACTCTGACTCTCTCTGTCTCTCTGTCTATCTATCTCTATTATCTATCTATCTATATCTCTATTATCTATATTAAATATTAAATACTTTCTGTCTGTCTGTCTGTCTGTCTGTCTGTCTGTCTCTATCTATCTATCTATCTATCTATCTATCTATATCTACACTATCTATCTATATCTACACTATCTATCTATCTATCTATCTATCTATCTATCTATCTATCTATCTATCTATCTACAGTGTCTGTCTGTCTTTCTGTCTCTGTCTGTCTCTCTCTCTCTCTCTATATCTATCTATCTATCTATCTATCTATCTATCTATCTATCTATCTATCTATCTATCATCTATCTATCTATCTATCTATCTATCTATCTATCTATCTATCTATCTATCTATCTATCTATCTATCTCTCTCTGTGGTGGCGATAGATACTCTGCCAACTGTCAACAGTTCGATCCTGACCAGCTCAAGGTTGACTCAGCCTTCTATCCTTCCGAGGCTGGTAAAATGAGGACCCAAATTGTTAGGGGGCAACAGGACGACTATGAAAGCCTCTTAGAAAGGGCTGTAAAGCACCGTAAAGCGGTATATAAGTCTAAGTGCTAAGTGCTATTGCTATTAAATATTTAGATCCCATTTTTTGCTTTTTGGGGGGAGCAATGTAAGTGCCTTAATTCCGTTCGTCGCTGAACGTTTCTCCCCCAAATTGGGCAGCAGGGCAGGAAAAATGCTTTGCTTGTACCTGACCCCAGGATGGTGGCCCTGGGCTTGTTCTGACGGACAGAACCGATTGAAGATGCTGCGTTGGTGCTGGGGGTCACAGTCCGGCTGTTTCCCTCCCCTTTGCAGTTGAGATGCAGGCTCGAGTCTTGTGCTGGGATGACCACGGATTTGGCGGTGGAGGGCGGGCTGCGAAAAGCCAGAACATACTTTTATTGGAAAGAACAAGGCTGGGGTGGCCATCTTGCACAACTGTGGCACAACCTAGTGGCTTGCACAACCTAGTGGCTAAGAAACCAGGCTAAAGAATGGGAGACCGTGAGTTGTAGTTCTGATTTAGGCATGAAAACCAGCTGGGTGACTGGACCAATCACCAGGAGACGGTGAGTTCTAGTCCCGCCCTAGGCATGAAAGCCAGCTGGGTGACTTTGGGCCAGTCACCAGGAGACGGTGAGTTCTAGTCCCGCCCTAGGCATGAAAGCCAGCTGGGTGACTTTGGGCCAATCACCAGGAGACGGTGAGTTCTAGTCCCGCCCTAGGCATGAAAGCCAGCTGGGTGACTTTGGGCCAATCACCAGGAGACGGTGAGTTCTTGTCCCGCCCTAGGCATGAAAGCCAGCTGGGTGACTTTGGGCCAGTCACCAGGAGATGGTGAGTTCTAGTCCCGCCCTAGGCATGAAAGCCAGCTGGGTGACTTTGGGCCAATCACCAGGAGACGGTGAGTTCTAGTCCCGCCTTAGCCATGAAAGCCAGCTGGGTGACTTTGGGCCAATCACCAGGTGACGGTGAGTAATAAAGAGGGGGATACAAATAAATAAATAAAATAATTAAAGAACCAGCCAGGTCAAAGTTGGGTAGATAACAGAAGATGGAACAAGAGGGACATTTCAGGAAGGCCCCCCCCCCCAATTTAAGCAAAGTTCTTGAGGAAGGCAGAATAAAAACAAACCAAACAATGGGGGATATAATCAAACCACGCAACCCAAGAGCAGAAATCTTGGAATGATGATGGGAAATAAAAATACCAGCTGGCACTGGAAACCGAACGGATTTGGCAATCTGGAAATAGGCTGAAATTTCCTCTTTTCTTCCCCCCTCCCTTTGGAAAAAAGGGGAGAGGGCTTGTGAAAAGGGTCCCTAGCCAGTCAGGGCTCCCAGCAAGGTGTTTCGTTGACAGTTTCACACTCCAGTTTGACGTCGGAGGACCTCAACCGTGCCGGTGACAAGGTCAGTCTTGCAAAAACCGCCTACGCAACAGGTTGTTTCTTCTCCTGCTGCCTTGGTTACCGGTATGGAACTGCCAACACCCTTTGCCCACAAGCATGCCACACCCCTGCCAGGTATGTCTGAGCTCTGCTGGCAGGTAATCAGGCAGCCACCTCTTTGCACAGTCAACAGCCACACACCTGTTCCTTTTTTCGACGATTAAAAATATATATATATCTATTTTTCACAAATTCAGGCGAATAAACCTGTCTGAGGATAATGTCGCAGGATCCAATCTGGGTCAGTCGCTGGGGAACCCATCTTTAAAGAACTTCTCTCTAACAGAGTGTGTGCTAGCCTGTGTGTGGTATTTGTAGTGTGTGTGGCTTTTTAGATGTGGATTGGGCGGTGTGGATGGATGGCTTGTAAGTTGCTGGCTGTTGTTTGCTTGTGCGGCCCAGCCCTTGCCTCCTAAGTGCTTGGTAGGCTGGTGGTAAAGGGCTTGTTTCCCCACTTCCCTGGCTGTTTGTGTGCTTGCCCATCCAACAATCTTAAAAGCCAATGACTTAAAAGCCAGCCATCAACACAACCCAATCAACACCTAAAAAGCCACATAGAACAGGCACTATAAATACCACATACAGCACACGCTCTGCTAGATACAAGATAGATAAGAGATAAGATAAGATAAGATGATAAGATAATGTCAAGGTAATGATTGAAAAGCAAACCAGCTGATGTAATGTGAGATGTATGGTGTAATGATGGGAATGACTCAGCAGGGTCTGTGTCCCTTTAAGAGCTTTGTATAAAAAGGAAGTCGCCACAGATGTGTGCTCTCTCTTCTGCTTCCTTGCTGTAACTGCTGCACGTGGGAGCCTGTTGTATTAGCACGTGTACGTAAATTGTTCCTGGTGTATGATATTGTAGATAGTGTAAGTGATAAACCACCATGTAATATAGACCGTTGTTTACTGTGTTTACTCCTGGGTTATCTCACACAATAAGACTATGCATGCTCTTGACAGATAAGATAGGATAAGATGATAAGATAAGATTTATTGTCATTTTTTATTTTATTATTAAAAATGAAATGCTCTTGCCTGTTCTCAAAAGCGTACACCTATATAGCGCACATAGAAATGTGCTATGTACAACATATGTATATAGCTACACCCTTAGATATAAATACATATAAATATTAATCACTATCCCGGTCACAGTTCCCTAAAGATGGGCTTCAGCAAAAGCCCGAAAGATCGGAAGACAAAACTTTTGTTCCTGGTGACCAAACCAGATTGGATCCTCTTTACGGTTCTCCTTTCCAATCTCCTCCATCCAAGGCTAGTGGTTGCCACCAGCAGGAGGGTTTTGGGTTTTTTTTAAGGATAGGACATCAAGAGCTACAGAGATAGCCTGGTTTTTGAAACCCCCTTCCCTAAAAGTTTCTAAGCTTCCCCCAAAGACTCACGTTTTGAAACAAGGGTCTCCGGATAAGAGGGTCATGCCAATCGTGACCTGCCAAAGAAGGAAGACGAGAGAGGGAGAAGGAAAAGTCATGAAAAACAACCTGCAAGGAAAAATATAGCGAGCCAAATAAATAAATTAAAACACAGGGGCTCTCGAGGCGGACCTGAAGGCAGGACAAGAAGCAACGGATGGAAATGAATCAAGGAGAGAAGCAACCTGGAACTAAGGAGGAATATCTTTTAATTGTGAGAACAATTAATCAACGGGACGGCTTGCCTCCAGAAGTTGTGGGTGCTCCATCACTGGAGGCTTTTAAGAACGACCCTGTATTCGTTTTGTTAAATTTATTTGCCACCTATCTCACTACGGGGCTACTACTTTTTAGTGAAGACATCTCCAGCACATCTCTCGCTGCCCATCAGCTCCATCCTACGGTCCTCCAGACTTACCTTCAAGATGGAATTGTCCTGCCTGGTGTTCTTGGTGTCGTATCCTTCCAATAGGCAACATCGGGCGGTGAGGCCAGAGCCTGCGAATTCAGCCAAGTTTAAGTCGGTGAAGCCGAGCTGTAAAAAAACAACAGATTGGAGACCAGGATGATGAAAAGCTGCACATTCCAGGTGAATCAAAATTTACAATCTCTTGTCCCTTCCAGGAAGAACCATTTCACCCTCCTAACCTTGACTTTTTGTTTTGTTTTCCAGAAAAACCCAGATCATCCTGAGAAAGAATCGGGATTATGGGTCTGGCAAGGAAATGTCTATGGAATTCTCAGTCCTCCAGGTTACGATTGTCCCAAAGGTGCTTTTTTTTCAAGAGGCAACTATGGACTTTCTACTTTTTGCCTTTGAAGACACATCTACTCCAAGAAGCTTCTTCAGCTCCGACTGGATGGTGGATTGATATTCCTGACAGCTCCATACCCATTTGCACTGCTCAGGTGACCCTAAGGACGCAGGTGAACCTCCAAGTGGCCTCAATGACTCTCTAAAAGAGGGCAAATGACCAGCGGTCTGCAAGGAGTATAAATCCTTCCATCCTCCAGAGCTGAAGAAGCTTCTGGGATGAGAAGCAAAACGTCTTCAAAGAAAAACAAGAAAGTCCAGTTGCCTCCTGAAAAAAAAGCACCTTTGACACCATGACCTGGATGACTGAGATTCTCCAGAGACATTTAGCCATGCACCTTGGGATGAACACCCTTCGAATGGGGCGGGAGTATGAACAGATTCCCAGAAAACATCGTAGACTCCAGGAACCGTTTGCGCTTCAGTTTGAGATTCAGACAACCCAGACTCATCCCCAACAGCCTGCGCCCGTCTCCAACAAGGAAGGGACCCAGGGCAGAAGACATCCTGCAGCCAAGAAGGCTCCACACCCATTCACACCACTTAGGGGACCCTGAAGACACAGGTAAACCTCCAAGTGGCCTCCACGACTCTCTAAAAGAAGACAAATGACCAGCTGTCTGCAAGGAGTATAAATCCTTCTATTCTTCACCATCCAGTCAGAGTTGAAGAAGCTTCTTGGATGAGAAGTGAAACGTCTTCAAAAACAAACCCCCAGAAGGTCCAGTTGCCTCCTGAAAAAAAGCACCTTTGGGACACCTGGCAAGCAAAGTGTTAAAGTCGCCCGGAGAGGTTGCATAACCAAGGACAGCCAAACAAGCCAGGTCAGTGATGTGGAAAATGTTCACTCCCATGTATGTGTACACAAATATAATAAGGCACTCTTTGTCCTAAGCTCATCCCGGAATACATGGAGGGAGAGAGAGAGAGAGAGAGAGAGCAAGAGAGAGAGACAGAGAGAGAGAAAGAGAAAGAAAGAGAG